TTTCTCAAAACTGGATTCTACACTCCTGTCTTTCGCGATCAAAATCTCCGTTGTTTTAGCTTCGTCTTCGCTGAGCTTCGGATATGTTGTAGCTGAGACAATGAGCTATCAAAAGTGTGCCCTTTATTTTTCGATTAGATGCCGGGATCATGCTCATATTTCACTTGCAAAGTGGGATTTCTGAATTCCATTTCCCGTTTACGTGTAATCGCTATGGGAGATGTTTTGGTATATCGGTAACGCACTTGACTTCCAACCTCGAGATCCCTGGTTCGAGTCCGGGTGTCTCCAACACTTTTTTTTCACTTTTTTTTCCTTTTGACCTTCACTGTACCATCTCCTTTGATTATTTAAACACGTAGATTCGCAAATAATGTCATAAATAACCCTTTTTACTTTATTATTACCCTATTTTCACTTAATCCATTACTTTTTGCGTGTAATCCCTATGGGAAATGACTTTTTCTCAAATCTGGAGTCTACATTCCTGTCTTTGGCGAGCAATATCGCCGTTATTTCGGCTTGGATTTTGTTGATTTTTGAGTATGTTGTAGCTGAGACTATATGCTATCTAAATCAACCCTCATTTTTTCAATAAGATGTCATGATCGTGCTCATGATCATGATCATGATCATCACGATCATCATTATCATAATGATGCTAATCATTTATCAATTACATTTTCATTTCTTTGAATAAGATAAAATCGTCAAAAGGTGTTCTTCATGATGTAAATTAGAGTCAAATGTGTAACTGGTTACTGCACAGGGTCAAAGGTCATATATTGTTTCAATCTATCTTCCCTAGATCCATGATGATCAAGGAGACACAATTTAATCTTGACATATGAATAGATCATAATGGGAGAAGCATATGAATGGGAGAAGCAAAATAATATATCGTGTAATGCATTATTCGTTATGTAAACCATTATCATACGTATCACCTAATTCGTCTAAGTGACGAATTAAAGTCTAGTTATTATTATTATTATAAAATAAAGATTATCTTTTTTGTTATAACTTTCACACAATATTGAGTTTTAACTTTCAAACCTTAAACCAATGAAATGGAATTATGGAAGTTATATTTTAATAGCGTGCAGGATTTCTCGCTCGAATTTGTCGGTGTCTAGAGGCTGCCATATAGATTTAAACTATTTTAAATTGATAGATTAAAGCCACGCATTTATAGAAAAATTAATAATGTTTTTCAAAACGATCTCGGATCTTCTCCAAATCCTTTATTTTAAATATGAGGTTTGGGTGTCAAATTGATACTTGTTTGAAAATATACGTGAAATCTATGAGAATACTATTTAAAAAGCCAAAGGCTTTATCGAATTCAATAATCATGAAATCAGATATAAATGTATGTATATATAAAATACTACAATATGTAACTACTTAGTACTGAATTAAAATTCATACTATTATTGAAAAAATATCATATTTACTCTAATGTGTTTCAAGTATTTTCTTGAATTGTAAAAAAATCTTTCCTTCTCTCTCCTGAAATACTGGTTTGCCCTTGATAAAAGGAAAAAAGGAAAAACCCCATAGTAATGTCACTTCCACACTGTAATCATACCTTCCTATGAATATTTAATGATGTGTAAATCCCGTCAATCGATTCCTGTGATATTTATGGACTCTTATTAGCAATTTTGTTGAACTTAATTTGGCTTGCTTGCATATCAAAACTATCATTAATTATGTTCTGGATTAAAATATTTGTATCGTTGTGTTATCCAATGAGTCTAAATTTATGATCTAACATTCCCTTATGATCTAACATTCCCTTATAACCTAGGGAGATACAAACAAACAAATTGTATGGTTTTGGTTTTATCTGCAAGGACATTATCTTTATTTCAGGTCATCATTATTTTTGTATAGTCATAAACCCCTAACCATCACTTTGCTTGTAATATTATCAAAGGCTTTTATATGATTTCATCTTTTTTGTTTTACTTGTAAAGAAGTGTTTTACTTGTGAAATATTGCTGTAGTCTAGCATGCTACCAACATCATCGATTTGTCCTTTTTTTATGAGGGCAATGTATCAAACCTTATTCTACAGCTGTGTAAAGTGTTGAATTAATGCACACAAGGTGTGATGGTTTAGAATCAAATCATAGTGAAATAATGGCTGGCCCTGTATGCTCTATTTTTTGTCCATGAATAAAAAGAACGGAGAAGAAATAAGAGATAAAAGACAGCTTTTCTTTTTGTAATTTCATTTCATTTTTTCTATTCGTTATTCAAAAACATACATAATTATAACATTGATATTTACAGATAAGTTAAGAACATATAACCAACATAACGAAAGATAAACATACACAAAGTTATATAGACGAATGAGGAAACCGGCAAAAAAGAACATTAAAGTATTATGTGCTGCTGGTCCCTCATGAATATAATATAGAATGTCACCTTTATCTAACACTTCACACCGTACACCTCATTGCATATATATACGAATAATAACATTCTATTCACATAAAAACGTAATTTTTTGTATATCTGTTTAGATGTATTTAAAGTTGGGATTGAGTTTATGTTATATGAGGCATTGGGGCTCAAATGCATATTGAGAATTAGAAGTTCAGAATTGCATAGCGCACATATTTGCAAGGCGCACACAAATCAAGAAAGTACAACATAATACCCCAACAAATAAAAAAAATGCCAACACAATGATCAGATGCAATCCACTCAGATACAGTAATCATACAGATACAATATTCAGATACATTGTCACTAATATCATTTTGCAACTATTAAAAAAACATCTGTATATGAGTATGGGTCTATACTCTATACATCAACATACTCAACCCTTTTCCTCTACATAATGTATCATGATATATTGTAAATCATTTTTCCTTTCTGTCTGCAACCTGCACAGCCCCACAAAAGTACTCTAAAAAATCCTCTTGCGCATTTTGTGACATTATAGCCATCTGAAATAAGCACAGCATTTCACAGGATTATGTGTTTTTCATACCAAGGATCACATAATAGCATCATGCTTTATAACACCTCCCAAACCTTTCAAAGTATAACCATTGCTATGTCGGGTGGTATTGTGTGATGCGATGTATTCTGTAACTAAATGAACAAACAAAAATCATGTCAATATGAAATTTGATTAATTTTGTTTATTTTTTTTTTATTCATTATGCTACTGAGTTGCAGTAATTACTACAGAACTAAAAGCTAAACAACTTGCCCTTCATATACCAATTGACTAAATTATACAAGGTTCAACTTGCTCCGTCTTATTCGAGTGCCCTTCATATACCATTTGACTAAGTTATACAAGGTTTAACTTGGTCCGTCTTATACGAGTGCCCTTTATCTACCGTTTGACCAAGTTATACAAGGTTCATCCTGGTCCGTCTTATACGAGTGCCCTTCATATAGCATTCGAATAAGTTATACAAGGTTTAAGTTGGTCCGTCTTATACAAGTGCCCTTCATATACCGTTTGACTAAGTTATACTAGATTTAACTTGGTCCGTCTTATACGGGTGCCCTTCGTATACCGTTTGACTAAGTTATACAAGGTTTAACTTGGTCCGTCTTAAACGAGGCCCTTCATATACCATTTGACTAAGTTATACAAGGTTTAACTTGGTCCGTCTTTATCTACTGTTTGACTAAGTTATACAAGGTTCGACTTGGCCCGTCTTATACGAGTGCCCTTTATATACCGTTTGACTAAGTTATACAAGTTTTAACTTGGTCCGTCTTATACAAGTGCCCTTCATATACCGTTTGACTAAGTTAAACAAGGTTTAACAAACATCAACTTCTTGATATAGCTTTTAAATTCTACTAATTTATACATAAACAGATTATTTACATAACCAGATAAAAATTATTGCAAAAAAATGTTTTTGGCATCATTAATAAGTACCCCAATAGTTATCGTGCCCACTCAAAGCCACTCTTTTCTCAATGAAAGATCTTGAATATATTTCATGAATTTTTTTTTATAATGTCGCAGTTTTATGTTTCTTTGTTTCAAGAATCAAATTTTAATTCAAATTTCTAAATATTTTCAGTTCAATTTCAATTTTCACAATTATAATACAAAGATTTCTCAAAGATATCATTTATCCCAAGTAGGAACATATACCTTCAAATTTTCTTATTTCTATAAGGGCCCAGAAGTTTGGAATAATTAAGATGATACCATAAGGGAAAGCCCGATTCTGAACACGTAAAAGGAGATACATGTATAAAGTCACTGTTATTGAGCAATTCGTAAAAGAAAAGAATACGAGTCAGGTATTTCATGTAATTGTGTGTGCGTGTGCGCGGGTGACTGTGTGTGTTTGTATTGGTTTGTCTTTGGGTAGAATTGTACGTGTTTAAGAATTAGTAAGAGTGTTATAGTTTAACTTAATAAATACAGATAAGAATACTAACAACCGGAATCAACTCGGTTAACATAAGTTGTGCCGGGTGAATTATTAGAATATGAACAAGTAAAATGTAAAAAGGATTCATAACATCATCTTTAATAGACCATTTTCGTAACCAAATTTTACATTTAAGAGCATCGATACGAATCATTTCATTCACCTGTTACGAATAATTGTATTTCAATATTTAGAATGGAAATTGCATATAAATACTACGTGTTGTTAGGTAGCGCAAGCCATAATGTTTGTCCTACCTGGCAATAACTAATGTATGCAATTTGAATTCTGACTATTGAGATACATTTTAATTTGTTATGGATGAATTAAATAACTCGTATCGAGGCACTTCACAAAGGCATATGCATACATACGGTTACATTATCGGATGCTCTCGAGTTTTATTAATTCATAATCTTCAAGATAGTCGTCTTAAACAATATACTCTATCCTATCCATTGGAATTTGGACTGCCCCTTTTGCTTTATTTTGTTGGAAATCAATGCTCTCTCTCTCTCTCTCTCTCTCTCTCTCTCTCTCACGTAAACACAGTTACACTCTCTTCTATAGAACAATGGGTTGTCTTTGATCGGGTCCAGGGGCCGTCTTAGAGCCCCTGACGATGGTCCAAGGGGCGTAGACCCAGACGCCTTCGAGTTTCAGAAATTCAGAAACTTCAAGATAGCCGTCTTGAGCGATAGGAAATATAACATATGCCTTGAAATATACTCTGTTCCTATTGTTTTATTTCGTTGGAAATCAGATCTCTCTCTCTCTCTCTCTCTAACACACACACACACACGCGCGCGCGCGCACACACACACACACACACACACCCGCACACACACACACACACACACACACACCAATTCTCTTAAGGACCGTTCTGTAGGACAAAGGGTTGTCTTGGAATAGGTCCAGGGTAACCATTTCTATCTTTACGGATGGGGTCCAGGGGCCCGCCTTACCCCTGTCGGGTCTCAGGGGCAGAGCCCATGCATGTCGGCGGTCCAGCTAGGGGCGGATGCTCTTAACTTTTTAACAATCTAGAACCTTAAACATGACCGTCTCGAGCAACAGAAATTGTAATTTTCTCATTGAAATTCACACATCCCCTATCATTTCTATTCGTTAGAAATCATCTCCCTTTCTCTCTTAAAGCAAATTTAGATAGAACTATTTTGTTTGTACTGTTCTATTTTCGCCCGAAGTATTCGAAGGCACATTGCCAACTCATCGGCGATGTAATCTGTTTGTATAAAATTTTACAGTTTCAGTTTCTTCTGTTTTCTTTCTCTCTCTCTCTCTCCCCCTTTCCCTCCTCAGAACAATGACAGCGAAAGGTCCTCTGGAAGACCTCTTGGAAGTTAGGATGCTTGAGTCCGTAGATGATCGGATTGACTACGCTATTTGCCGATAATAACATGATACTGTAGAATGTGAACACGCTAGTGCCGGGGATGAGTAGATATATACTGGTTGCTAGGAAACAGAACACAAAGACACATACGACCATAAAGAGATTCTTAGTGATCTGGATTTCCTTTCGCTTAATAGATTGGATCATGGGTGGACACGATTCTCGAGATACAGATGAATCCTTGCTCTGTGCTGCATGTGAACTGTTCTCTTCCTTGATGTCATACTTGTCTCGAAAGTGTTTATTGTGTTGCAAAACATGGAGCCAGATAAGAATGTAAAACATTATGGTTAACGTCAAGTTAACGGCAACTACAGTTCCTTGTATAGTGACATAATAATAGTCAAGCGGGTTTGTGTCTGTTGTACAACATAGGCTGTAGTATTGAGAATAGCCAAGTGTCCCGATTCCCAGAACAGGAGGTACGACCATCAACGCCACAGACACTATCCAGATGATCACCACTAATGTAGCGATTTTCTTTGGAGAGTGGAAGCCCCGTTGACCACGGACGAACTTCGTGATGACATACCAGCGCACGATGGAGATGAGGGCTAGAGTCGAGGAGCTACAGCAAATACAAGTGATGAAGACCCCTGCAACCGTTGCGCAGACAAAATCACGTAGAGGATATCCTTCTGCTTGACTTAGAAGACCCACCACCTGGAATGGAATGCAGAGACACGTTACTAAATCAGCGAAAGCCAGATTGACCAACAGTATGTTAGTGATCGTACGAAGTTTCTTGGTGACGACGACGGCGATGATGACGAGGGTATTACCGAACAGACCGATCAATGTCAATCCAATCAAGACTGATGCAACAATAGCTCGATGATGGAAAGGTATGTCACTGTGAGTTTCTGTTCCCGTTTCTAAACCTGTCCCATCTATCTCCGTAGCTTCTATTGTGAAGTAATCAACATGGAGCTGCGACGTGTTTTCCATTATTTCAACGTAATATTTGATTTGAGAATTTCAGAACCAGATTCAAAAGCTGCAGATTTCGTGCGATTTGTCACCTCAATGAAACACTAAAGCATTGACTTGTGAACGAAGGGTGGTATTCAGCGCTTTATATCATCAGGAAAGAGCTTCATAGTACCAGTTAAGATGATGATTAATATTATTATATCGACACCTCCTCTTCTCCGCTTCATACCTAATTGACAAGTACATGTAGCCCTACATTATGATTGGTTAGTTGCAACAAATAAACCTTCATTTACTATAAATGTTTCATATTGATGAATAGTTTTCCTATTATCTATTTGCTCTTCCAACACCAATTTGTTAAGCAATTATTATCCCAACCCGGTCGCCGGTAGACCAATGAGAAGAAAGTATTTATGTTTGCTGTATTATAAATAATTCATTACAGTAACTTGAGTTATACATCATTGTCGAACTTTAAATTAATCATTTTGGAAAGCCGTTTTGATAAGGGGGCGATGAATATATAATCAGCAACTTGCAACTAAATTATATAGTTCCGTTTTGTGGGAAACTAGGGTTTCTGGTATCCTTGAATTGTAAATTGTATTAATTTCACATTATATAATATTACAGTGCCATTGGATTCATGAAACCTTCATGGGTTAACCCAATATATCTCTGTTGTGAGTAGCACGGCGTATGAATACAGAAATCGCTTTATCAATGATTTAGCCTAACTTCCAATTGGCAATCTCCGAAGAACAACATGCACTACAATATTAATAATGAATAAACGAAATTATGGACTTGGTAGTTAAGGCACTAGCGCATTGAATAGGTTTCGAACCCGGGGACCTCCCGGTTACGAGACCGCAGCTCTACCACTGAGCCATCGCGCCTCACTCTTTCTTTTTCTTATGGATTTGATATACATCGATTTTTAGTTTATTGGCAGCAAACCATCCATGCATATTTCTTATTCTAATGTCTAAAACAGTGTTTTTTTACACTGTCTTTATCAACAACATTTTATCTACAACAAACTAAAACTGAATAGTAGATCAATAGATCATATTTAATAGTCAAACATAGAAATTGACCATCGGCTATTTGGTTTTTAAGGGTACTCGAGTAATTTCTCTACTATAAATATAATTTATAACAAATATATAGTTACCAACATTTAAAAACAGTTTCCTGGTTGAACAAAAATCTTCATCATCTCTGTTAAATTGAATTGAAATAACTCAACGGTGCATTATTTCCCTAAAAGATTATTGTTGAGCCAAGCTAGTCTCTATACACATGGAGTCCAAACGGGTCAATGATAATTTGTCACAGGGGTCGATCCATGAATTGGTAAAAGGGGGCAGAATGCCGAAATCGGATTCTAAATTTCAAACGGGGCACAAAAAGAAACATGGGGGGAGAAAAAAAGGAGGGGTACAGTGACCTGTTAAGAAAAGGGGGAGATGGGACGATGAACGGCCCCTCCCTATACAGCCGCTTCTGATTAGTCACAACCGGTTGATTTTTTTTCTTCTCGTTTTCACCGTAGACTTCTCCAAATGTTAATCTTAAAAGAAGGAATGTATACAGGAAAAATAGGAGGGGCTGGCTCAGTCACCTAAGTGGCCAGTCAAAACGAGGGATCGACGAGCCGGTGTACCCCTTCCTCATGTTTTTCCCCTTCCACAGGGTTCCTTCATTAAATAAAATCGTTCACATTATACAAGAAGAGATATATATACATGCAGAATTACAAAATGATATTCTTGGCCATTAAAAATATGATAAGATCATACATTTATAGATATCAGTTACAAATTGCAGTTCATTTTTAAATTACCATGTTGATTCGTTATCGAAGGCTAGGCTAGATGGCGAAACCAAAGAAGGGTCTTTCCACTCCGCAACGATGTCTTTGAAAGTTGGGATGTTTGAGACTATAATACTATAGTATTTATATTGATTGGATTGGCTACGCTGTTCATCAATATAATCACGTAGGCGTAGCCATATAGATTGAAACTATCTGAAATTGATAGATCATAGTAAAGCCACGCATTTATAGAAAAATCAATAATGATTTTCAAAACGATCTCGGAGTAAAGCATAACAATGAAGGGGAACAAATACGGATCAGAAAGAACCCTTATTATTATTATTATTATTATCATTATTATCATTAGTATTATAATAATTATAATTATTTTGATTATCATTATTAGTATTTATAGGAGGGCAGAACCCGCGTCGCGATCGGGGTTCAGTCATTCACGCCTGAGAGCTATAGGAAGTGAGCAATCAAAATGAGTGGGTGATTCGCATGTGATATAATTATCCAAATTACCTGGATGAAAGCTGTTTCAAGTTACTTTTTCCCTGAAAATTATTTAAAAGGTGATTAATTTCCTCGTTTTTCGCAGCGGAATTGAAAATGGCAAATAAATGCACAATCATATATTACGTAACAGGAACTAAAGGTACCGCTTAGTACAAAGACTATGAAACCTTCGTCATGCACGTGACCTGAATCACATGACCAACTTCTCGCAAAGTCGTCTAGTATAGTCGATCTCATAGAGATATATACTTAATAAGGCTAGAGTGCGGACTCGTCATACGCGCCCGTTCAAAGCTCTGTGCGCGCATGGAGCGCGGTCCGCCATTACTAAGGAGGGCACAACTTCGAGAAATACCCGGATGTTCCCTTCGAAACTGTGCTACTGATAAGCAATGTGAAGCTTCATTTTTCGAGTTGATTTATCGGTTTTCGAGTATGAAACGTTATAATTGTGGTATTTTGCATAATGCATGAACCCTACTCATGCCTCAGTCATGGTATCTGGTGTAGGTCAAGATTAATTACGGGTGTTATGGTGAGGTAAAAGGGACACAAAAAGCTATTTATATTTCAGTGTATCTTCAATTTTTCTTCCTCTTTGTCAATATAAAACTGCGATATTATGACATCAAATATTACTTGGCTTTCAACCAATCAGAATCAAGCATTTGGGACTTGTATTTGATATTTATGTCATGATATTAACCAAAGTTTTATGCTACAGGGCCAATGCCGGGGGTCAATGTCTTTCTAATTCAGTTATTATGAGAGCCAGGGTTTACTGATTTAAAACGCTTTAAAGGTTATATATTCATTTTATGTTTATGGCTATTATAAACAGATTGATACTTATAGATTTGGGATAGAGATGGGTATAGCTAGACACATAAATAGATGGATAGATAGATATAACATAGAAGGATAGGTAGATAATGGAAATGCAGATATAGGACGATACTGAAGATAGGAAGAGGGGAAAGGAAAGAATTGTACACATTTATTTAAAAAAAATTATGTTATTTACTCATCCAATCATTCATCCATCCATCCAAACATTCTTTTTCTTCTTCTCTCACTCATTTTATATCAAATTCACACCTTATGTCTTTCACCTAATCTCTATAAAATTTCTATATGTCTGAAAGAATAATTCAATTTTTTACAGTTCACTATAAATATATATGAATATTCTTTAAAAACAGCTGATCATTGATGTAATAATTATTTATTCACATCACCTTTTTTCTCCATAAATAATATTCTCCTTGATACAGTGTATTTCTTATTTTCTTCATCAACCAGTTTTAGAGAATAAACTTATAATTCAATTTGAAGGAAAAAAATGAATAAATGAACCTTTTATTACCACACGGCACACGTGTGTTGATATTCTACAGCATAGGCATTTAAGTTTTGACATTTTATTATACTGCAATAATACAACACAATTGAAAGGACAGACATTGCAAAAACAACACCTCAGATTTTAGCCCCAAATTTACTGTCACGGATCATAGGCAACACAACCACGACAAATTGATTCGCCACCAAAGACAAGCATTACACATCCCAAAACCGCCACAATAACTCCCAAAACATAAATGTCAGGAGGCCAATGTCTATGTGTCAAGATGTCAGCGATAACGAACACTTTATTAACTAGTCTTGGCTCCAAGCGCACGCAGGCGCGTTACATTTACTAATAATACAAAGACATTTCATCGAGTAATAAATGCAAACCAGAAAAAGTAATTGAGCATATATATTCCAAGTCACCTGTATTGCTATGAAGAACTATAATTGAAGAGACTTACATCTCAGGATACTGCACTACACTATTCAGTGAAACCTCATAGTAACATGGTCTTTTGACATCATTATTCATCAGGTATAATAATAAATTTGAAACTGATTACCCTCAAATGTACACAGTAGATACAACAAGCCAAAGAGTGCACAATCTTATGGGTTTACATCTAGTGACATCTAGTGACATTATTCCATAATTGTTCTGTTATCAAATCTCTTCAAAAGCAGTTTTCCATTTTGGAACAAAATTCAAACCTATGTACAAAACGATCTATGGGTGTGTATATGGTGTGCAACTGTGCATTACACAAGCTTTTCAATTGCAACACATCTGTGAATTCTTCTCGTTTATTGAAAATGGGCTCACTTGATGTGAATTTCTTGCTTTTCATCTTTAATGATGTAAATCACTTGGTTGAGAGCAATCCAGACAATGTTATAAAAAAAGGTCTACATGTTTATCTCAGGTTATCCATACTGTACCTGCAGAATCAAAGCACATGTAGAGTGCAAATAATTTGCAAAAATTATAGCAACTGAATCAGATACAGCAGGTACAATTATGAAGCTAATAGAGTAAATATTCAAATACAGTGTACCTCACAACAACTCAAAATTCAAGTACATTTTGTTTAACCCCTAATTTAATCAACTCTTCTAAGTTCCACTTTAGTTTGCCTTCGTGTAAAGTTAACAAACAGAAAATTATGGTTAGGTTGTGCAACTGTCACAATGTGTCCCAAGAATTTTATTTCATTACACAGAACAAAAGTCTCAGATTGTTCTGTTTTTTTAAAAGATTATTGAAAGCTCTCTCCAGTTTTAAACGGCTTCACAGTCAATCATCCAGTGGATA